TAAAAGAATCTTTAGTTGAGATAAGTTATTGTTCAATCATCATCATCATCAATATTGGTGTTAATCTGTCAATACGTTTGTTATACAAGCCGACATACGTTCACACTACCGTTAGTGGACATATGTCACGATTACATCAAACGTTTTTTTAGAGTATAACTAGCGAATTACATGTGCTAAGATATATGTATATTTTTCTTAACACCAAAATCAATTTTAATAGAAATGGATAAGTAATAAAAAATAAAAAAAAACTTTCTTTTTATGTTTTCTATAATAAATTAAAACGGAAGAAACAAACGTGTTCTTTTCTTTAATATAATCGGTTAAAATTTTTATTGGTTAAAAAAAATAAATAAAAAGAATCGTATTGGATAAAAAGAGAATTCATAGTTTTTTTTACCTTATGAGTAACTAATGTATTACTTCTTGAAAATGCTCTTGAACAAATATCACATTTATATTTTTTTAAATTTTTTGATTTTGTATTATTTGTTGTTGAATGTGTTTGTGTTGTATTTCCATTTGATGTTATTGGTCGTCGAATAAAGTCCATCAATGTAGCTGGAGATGGAACAAGAACATTATTATTTGTAATTGTATATTGATGATAATGTGTTGCTGATGATGATGATGATGATTTTTTATTGTTTGTATTTGTTGATGCTTTTGGTTGAAGAGATGATGACGATGATGATGATGATGACGATGTTGGTAATGAAGAAAGTGGTGGTGGAAGAAATCCCGGAGGTCGAAGATTAGATAAAAATGGATGAAATAATGGTAATGTATGCCAATAATTAGGAGGTGGAAGTGTTGGTACAAATGGTAAAGTTTGAGAAAGAAATGGACGTAATAAAGCAAGATGAGAATGAAAATCTGATGTTGAAGAAATTAATGGTGATAAAAATGGATTTGGAATAGAATTTTTATTTGTATGATGTTCATCTGAAGAAATTGTTGTACCATTTTTAGTTGTTTCTTCATTAATGTTATCAGTTTGATCAGTTTTAATAGATGATGATATACGACGAAATGCTGATTGATTTGATTCAGAAAAATGATGTCCATTAGATGATTTTTCGTCTTTAGTAATTGGACTTTTGGAATCTGAATTAAAAATTTAGAAGACAAAAAAAAAAAGATTTCAATATGCTTTCTTTTTTTTGACTTACTATTCATATCGGCTTGTTTAGCTATAATACTCGATTGAAATTGATTGATACACAACTAATTTCTTTTTTTTTCTTCTTCTTCTCTCTTCACCTTGATTTCTTTTTTTATGTCAATTCGTTTACCTGTTGGCTAAAAATGTTTCTTTTTTTTTTCTTGTGCTTCTTCTTTTCCCGGAAAATATACGTATTACGTGTCGCATGCACGCCTGCCACCCTATCACGTACATATATGGTATGCATGTTCATCAAAGAAAAGCGCGACCGACTGTTACAATATTGAAAAACACGTCGTCATCGACAATTGTAATTAACAGACTAGAGAGAAAGAGAGGGAAGGGAAAAAGAAATAGAGATGAAAGAAAGGATTTTAGTTTTTATATACGTATGACTCTTGGGATCACCCAGTAGGACATCGTCATTGGATGGCCATGATCGTGGTCAATTGAATAAAGAATATTGTTGACATGGTATAATGCCGCTTAATCTACTTGTTCGTGTTCAAACGGAAGATGACGACTTGTTGACTTCGTCAGTAATAGTGTCGGACTAATCAGGCGAAATAAGTTAAAACAACTTTGTTTTATGTTTCTATGATGTCGTTTATAAGAAATATTTTAAAATAAGAATATTAGATAATCCCTATTTAAGATTGATGAAGAAAAAAAAAAAAGAAGAAAACGTTGAATTAATTATTAAGATTTAGACGATTTTTAAAAGAATTTTGAAGATTCTAGAAACAAAAATAGCAATGATCAAATCAATGTTTGTCTCAATGACAGATTTAAGTTATAATTAATTTGTTATGTAACAATGATCACTCAATAATATCAAAGAAAAAAATAAATCTATGGTATTAAGCCAAGTCGATACGGTCGAATTCAAATTTAACATTTATCCGTTTTTTATTCTTTAGAGACATTCAACATATGCAAGAAAGTTTTTATATTCAACTTAAAGGAATTTATTTTGCTAATGTTAACCTCTCTGCTTTGATTCTCTTTTTAAAGGAAACGTGCATTGGTACGACTTTTTTTAATCGGATATGGACCGCTATTTTTCTTTTAGACTTGAGCCCAAATAGTTGTACATAGTATCAGGCCGAAGTCAATCGACATCCGGCAGATACTTTCACAGTCATAGTATGATCTTTAAACTTTTATTTGATATGAGAAAGTATACTATTTAGCTTCTTTTATATACAGCAACAAAAAGAAAGAGATCATCTCAAAGTAGATAATTCAGAATTCACTTGGTGTCTTTCTGCTTCTGAAATTCGATCTATTTCTCTAAGTATACGGTTTTTTTTGTCGCTGACAATGTTAGAATGGAACGCAATATTTATGCCAAACGTCATAATTATGGACACGTACATGAATGCTTTTTTTTCTATCACGAGAATACATGTTCACCTATTTGATAATTCATTCTCTTCTCCATGTATTGAGTTACTTCGTCATATGGCTCATCATTATTTGTAGATGAATATTTAGTAAAAAAACGAATTCTTTTAATAAGACAATCCCGCATTGCATGTCTGTGATCTGTTCTCAAATACAATAAATTGCGCAAACTGTTTTTTACTTCTATGATTTAATATAAATTAGTAGTTTGAAAAAGTGAAAATATTTTCAAACGTCGAGATCTCATTAATTGTCGGATCGGGTATTGAATAGATGACCTGATTGTAGAACACTAATTGCTAATAACGGATGATTGAAAAATAATTAGATAAAATATTTATTCACGTTTTAGCCTATTAAAGAAGCTTGCAGAACTTTGAAAACATTGGGTTAGAATCAAAATTTAGTATTGTTTCCAAATATTTCTCTAAGATTTTTGGTTTAAGAGTTATGAATTGAACTTTTAGAGACGCAAGAATTAAGTTTGGACAGAGAAAATTCACGTTTTTTTTTGTAGCAAGAGTCTCATTTACTGCTTACATTATATCACGGACATTATTTTGGCATAGAATTAAAGGCAAAATTGTTTTCTTCAAAATGACATAAGAATCAAGAATTCTAGAATAATCATTTCGAAATGACCAAATTCACTTTACAAGTCTGTTTTCCATAGAAATCGAGAAAATTGTCTAAATTGACACAGTGTTCCTTACTCTAAGATACTTACTGTGGACAAATGGTTCGAAGCTAACTAATCATTAGTATTTCATTTTATAGAGAAATATTTGTTCGTTCATCCGCTATATTTGACATAATTTTCGCTTCTACTTTGCGTAATTTTTACTACGCTGAAGTTCGTCGAAATTTAATTTGTGGGTCTCGATAAGATCGACTTATAACTTTTAAACAAAAGGTTCCTAGAACATTTTTGAAGCCATATTCGAAACGAACATAAAATTCTAATTCTAACTCAATGCTTTCGAATTTTGGCAAGCTCCTTTTGAAAAGGTTGAACAATGAATAAATCTTTTGTCCGTTACTATTTCATCTCGCGTAATAATCATAAATTTTTCTTTTGTACTTTAAACAATGTGATTCTTCTTAATATCACACATTCTATTGCTAGAGAATTTATTTTATCATTTTATAATATCATGAAAACATGACTAATAATTATATAAGGAGCCGATTAAATAAGACGTTTTCGTGTCCTTGAAAGTCTTATATATTACATGGAAATGTCAGACTAAGTTCATTGTCGTATATACGTATATAATGAAAAGCAGCATAACTAGTTTTATTAGTTATTTAACAACGAGTGGCTTCACATATATTTGTCTTTGTATTTGCTATGATTTTGCTTTTAATTGATGTTCATCCATTTTACAAAATATGGCCCAAAATCAAGGATTATAATATCATAAGTGATATTAATGATGCTTATAATGAAATCAATCGATTATTGAATGAATAAGAAAATACAAAACGACGATCATCTAAATTTAATCGACTTCTGGATTTGTTGTATTTTCAACAGTAAGTAGAAAATATCGTAAGTTTGTTCTTATGAATTCATTTTATATTTCTTACTGATAGTAATACTACCAATATGAATGAATATGATAAACGAAATGATTATTATCGATATGAATATCCACCAGAAAATGATCATGTTTATAATGAATCAATAAAATCAAAATCTTTATCTTTTAATTGATTCTTAAGAGCATCCTGCTGTTTTTTTTCATCGTTTCTATTTCTCAAAGTCGGTACACAGAACAGGATATGTGTAGAGTTATAGAGGAAGATTTCCGATACTTAATAATGTATATACTATTAAGTTCTATTGCATATCGTTGAGATATAAACAGAGCGTACCACCTTCATTGCAACCACGGTAGGATACAGTATAGATGGCGCCATCTGTTGATATCTCAACACTACGCAATAGAACTTGATAGTAGATACATCATTAGATAGAAGAAATCTTCTTCTATAAATCTACACATATCTCGATCTGGGTTAACACCTTATAGTTGCTCTTGATGGAAGTCATAATGTATTACGATGCAACTCTATGTAAAACCGAGATTTCTCAACAAAGATTCACGTCAAAATTTTTGTTTTCCTCGAACATATGTCCCCTTATTTTTGATATACAAATTTCAGCTTGATCGGTTGTACCATCTACGAGAGCTAGAAATGATCAAAAAAAGATACTGAGATACCCTTAAGATGGTTATTTAGAGGATGATGATTGCTTTATTTAACGTATTGACTAATTGATTATTTTATTGCTTGAATATTTTTCTTTTACAAAATGATAAAACTACATGCTGTTATATACAATATAAATATGAAAGAAAGTTTTATTAGTAAGATTCTATATATTGATTCTTTTTTTTTTGTCCATAATAAATGTATTTTAATCTTGTTGATCATAAATACCAGTAGGGATAGCATCCATACCTTTTGTTTTAATGAAAAAAAAATCTGCTAACCAAGCAGGAAGCATAGAAAGTGGAAAAAAGAAAAGACTTGATTGCCATCCAGGTCGATATCGTATATGTGGAGCAGTATTCATAACAGCATGACGGATTGCTTTAATAACTTTTTGAGGATTTTCAGCATTTGAACGAAAAGGATTTTTTTGTATTTTTGCAATAAAACCATGAAAAAAATTTTCACCCCATCGATTTCTTATATCTTCAGGAAGCTCAGCCCATAAATTACGACAATCAAGTTCATATTCGTCAATAATTGGTGTTCGCATAAAACCAGGTTCAATTACTGATACATGTAAATGCCACTGATACATTTCTCGACGTAAACAATCCGAAAAAGCTTCTAATGCAAATTTTGAACATGCATATGCTGACAGACCGGATGTAGCCATATAACCAGCTACTGAACAAATATTAACTACACGTGATCCACGTCGGGATATAAGTAATGGTAAAAATGTTTTTGTCATTTGAATATGTCCAAAAAAATTTACGTCCATTGTTTCACGTATAAAATCACATGATGTCCAATCAATAAAACCAGTTTTGGTAATACCTGCATTATTTACTAATGCATGAAGTGTATTAGTTTTTTTTTTAACAATCTCATATGCAGTTTCTATATCTTCTTGTTGTGTTATATCAAGACAAAAAACTGTAGCTCGACTAGATAATTGACCGGTAAGACGTTCTTCACTATCCGGAAAAAGTACAGTAGCTAATACATTAAAACCTTGTTTATCAAGTTCAATAGCTAATCCATGACCAAAACCTGAATCACATCCACTTATTAAAACATATTTACCATGTGGATTTATATTTGGTGGTGGAAATAAATGTTGATATAATCGATAGGCTACATAAAGAATTAATGCTATACCAACAGCAACAAATACGGTCGCCATTCTATGTTAAGAATGCTAAAAAAATAAAATAAAAAAGAAACAAGATAAATACCTATTTTTTGTTAATTATTTGCGTTATAATATTCTATTTTTGCTCTAGCGTATTGAGTCCAAAGTGCTGATTCGTAGTGCAATAGTGACTATCATAACGCATCTACCTGTCCAATAGGGTAAAAATACCGTGTTTTTTTTCTTTCTCGTCTTTCTTTTACTTGTTCTTATTTTTTTTCGCGAACATACATATGTTTCATGGTTAACATCAGTACTATACACCAATGAAATATTACTAAATAGCAGAAAAATGAAGTAAAAAAAAACCTAATGAATAATTACATTCATTCTTAAGATACGGTTGGTTAGTTTAAATATAATCGTAATTTAATATGAATTATTTGCATAAAGAATACCTGTATTTTAAGTATATAAAATATTTTGCAATTGATTTCATCATGTTATTTAATATATTTATTGTTGGTTTTTTTTCAACAGTCATTTTCTAGATTTGCAAAAGAGATTTTACATGATACAATAATACAGAAAAAAAAAGAAGGAAAAGATATTTTATAAATTTATTCGAGATCAACAGAATTTGCTTCATTTTCATCTTCCGTATAAATATTTTCCGCCTAAAATTTATTAGAAAAAAAAATTTATTTGCTTTTTTTTGTTTTGTGAAACTAAAGATATTATTACCATTTGCCAAACTTGCATTATATTATCTTCTGATACAGAACAAATAACCCATGGTTCAGTTGGATTCCATGAAAAATCAGATATTTTAGCTGTATGACCACCATGAATAAACTATAATAAAACAAGATTTTCGTTGTTTTTTTTTTTTTATTTCTAATCATCAATTTTATTCTTACTAATAATTCAGGTGGACCATCTTCAGCATCATCACTTGTTTGCTCTTCACCAATTTTACTTTACAAAAAAGAAAGAAAAAATCATTTTAATAAAAGAAAACGATATTTTAAGAAACAAAATAGATTTGTACCTTAAATCCCAAACATGTAATCGTCGATCAGTACCACTTGATGCAAGTATTGTTTCATTATGATGTGACCATTGAACTTGAAATATTTCATCTTTATGTGATTCAAATGTATGTAATTTTAATTTAAGGTTACGAAGATCCCAAAGAGCAACGGTCTATAAATAGAATATTTGTTTTTCTCTTGACTCTAATTATATGAAAACAAAAACAAACAAACTTTATCAGCTGAACCAGTTGCTAAAATATATTCTGAAAATGGATTAAATGATAAACAATTAACTTCAGCACCATGTGCATCAACAACATGAGATGGTTTTGTATAATTTGATGAACGTGTATCCCAACTAAAACAAGAAAAAGAAAAGCTCTAACCATAATTCCTGTGAGATTAAAATGTGCAACATGATGTAGTTGTTCTTGCTAATTATAGAAAGATTGTTTTATTCTATCTATTTGGGGTACATTTCTTCATCATCCTATTTACTTAATCTTCCAAAACTACAAAATGGAAGTAGTAAACATACTATAATGAGACGTTATTGATAGATCGTATATCAACAAACTCTATCATGGTCTCTGTGATAGAAGAACGCAGTGAACTGTCAGTCGACGAAATCGATTTCTCAATTTTGAAATTAAGTTGTAGCTTCTATAGGTCTACATTCAACTATATCTTCAATTCTGGCTGCAGGCGACTAACCATCTTGCAGTAATTACTACAAACTAGATAAAATAGATGTGAATATCGTTAATAAGACCGTACAAGTAAATTTATGTTTCCAACTGAAGTTCTAATTATATTCATTAGATATACTATAGTTATTCAGCGTTAGATATTTAATATATACTGCAAGTCTTTCGGACTTTCTGAAGTTTCACTAGAGTAAAAAAAAGCTATTTGTAATATACTAAAAACTAACGATTGATGAATAATGGAAATTCTTTTGCTGAATTATTCAGGGCATTTATTATAAATTTTATTTACTAATGGATAGAGCATGTCACCAGGCAACTTTGTTGGGTGCATAAAAATGCATCTTCAAATTCTTATGAAGATATATTATCACAAATATAACCTTCGATATAGATCTGTTCTGGTTGACCTTTCTACTATGATTGGTAATCTTTCAAATAGGTGAAACTTTAAATAATATAAGGTCAAACATATACATTGATTGTTTAGTTCTAAAGATAAATTATAAATAGTTTCCAATTTTGAAGTTATTATTAGTAATTGTTGATAGCTGATGAAGGAGTATCTCCATATAACTAAATTAATTTTGGATCGAGACTATGGAACGAACGATAAAATCAAATTTTTCAATAAAATTCCGTAATCTCCTCAGTTCAATTTGAAAGTTTCAGTTCTTCTCATTAATTCTATCATGACATACACTTTCTGTTGTGTAAGAGAACAAATTTTATACTTATATTCGTATCTTACGATAGAAGTAACTGAAAAATCTGAAAATTTGTATAATAAGTTCCATTGAGAACATTATTTTTGCCGAAGTTTCAAGTCGAAAGTTAACTTTTTAATTGACTACGGAGTTTTGTCGAAAAATTCAATTTCTCAGAAATCTTATAAACAAAAAAATGTTAGATAAACACAGATTATCAGCATAAAGTGTGAATCATAATTACACAAAATACTAAATTATTAACTATAGTAATTCTCAGAATTACTCTTGATCCTTTTTTTTCCATCGAAAAATAACATACATCATCAATTTACAATCATCACCAACTGAACCAAATAAAGTTTCATGAAATAAATGCCAAGCAACATCTTCAACAACAGCTTGATGTCCAGAAAAAATTGCTAATGGATCAACAAATTTTCCTTCCGTTGGTGTTTTTTCAATATTCCATAAACATATTGTATGATCATCTGATGCTGATAAAATATTTCCACTAAAATTTGGATTCCATGAAAGACCATAACCTTCTTTCGTATGTCCACGTAAACGTAATTCTGGACATGAATCAGCACTTAATGCCATTAATTGTTCTTTTGGTAAATTAGCTAATTTTGTATAATTAAATATTAAGACTTCAGCTGATGGAGATTTTGTTGCAATAAGTGATGGATTTTGTGGCATATACCGAGCACGATTAACTTCACCATCATGATTAATTTTTAATTCAATTTCAATTTTTGCATTAAATAAACCAAAACCACCAAATTCTATACATATATATATATATATATATATTTTTTTTTTTGTTAAAACTTTAATTGAAATTAATTAAATACCTCCTCGTTCAGATTCATATTGTGTTGAATCACTCGTTGTACCTTCTTTTGGGATTTGTACACATGCAATTACTAGATGATTTTGTTCATCCGATGTATGAGTACCAAGAATAAGACGATGAGTTGTAAAATCTTTTCCATCTTCAGGTCTGAAAAAAAAATACTCAATGTCTTTTATTATTATATAGAATTTCAGTTGAGTGGATCAATCGGATCATTGATATCTTGTTAAAGTTACTTAGTACATTTTATAGACAAGAAAAAAAAGATAAATTTAAAAGGTTAAAAGAGAATTATAGTTAAAATACATCAAAATGAGATAATAGTATCTTCTGATTCGGTTGATAGATTGGATGAACTATTAGTAATAAATTTCAACAGTTTGTCAAAGAAAGTAGGAAGCTGCATCGAAGTCAACTAAATGTATAAACTGATATATTTTCGGAATTCGATTGATATGTCTTCAAGGTCTACGTCTATGAGAAGAAGTCAAAGTCAACCTTGACTTTGACTTTTCCCAATCTTTGTAAAGCATTGAAGAGACGTGAATCGAGCCTCCATTATACATTAGTTTGCATAATGAATATTAAAGAGTACAACTCATCATTCAAAAAAACTGGTAGTGTTCAATCTGATTTACTGGTAGACAATTTAGAGAGCTCCGATCGTGCTTAAAAATGACTCCGATGCGAGTCACTAGTGCTAGTTTGTCCTCTCAAGAATAATTGAATACAAGCTTTTTTCACATAATGTTGACGCATTTTGTTGGTAATGGTTTTATCTATTATATACTAAGCAATTAATTCTTATTGATGCTGTTCAAAATTTTTAAGTTGTTTTACTAGGCTCTTCCCATACTTCGCTTCTAGTGTACGAAGTGAAGGTTTTTTGTGAAAATCCATAATGGGATATTCACAGATATGATATTATTATTCGTAGAAATCGTCTATAAAATCTATTAATTCTTTCTCTCAATGAGTTTGAGAGGAAAAAAACAAATTTCTAGGAAACAAAAACTCAAGTTTTTCATCTTTATTTGTATTCTTATCAGCTTCTATGACAGTGAGAAAAATTGGTCGACTAATTTTCGAAAGCATTGTACATAGAAAACGAATTTTTATCGGTGATATGCTTTACAATGGAATATGTTCTATAGTTTAGATATTCATTTTTTATTATTCTAAATATTTACAAATAAAATCTTTGTATAATTGATTGAATCTGATACACTCTATCAAAAACTTAGTAATAACATTCGAATGAAGATATATAAAACTTACTTTGCTGCATATGGTAACCATTGAACAGTAAGTGAAGGCCATTCAAGAGCATGAGTCATGATTAAATCATAGAGAAATGCAGAATTTTTCTTCCAAATTTTATAATCTTCATTTATTTGACGTTCTTCATTTAAAATATCATCACCTAAAAAAAATAGAAAAAGATATTTTTTTTTTGTTAAATCTAATTCATCGTACAAACCATCTGCCATTGTAGGATAACTGGAAAAATTTGACAAAGATAAAAAATTAATTCAATCTGAAAGTTAATGATTTATTAGCTTGTTTATCACATAGAAAAAAAAAATGAAAAAACAAAAAAAGTTATTTATGAGAGCCACCAGATTGAGGTCCTTGACCTGGTATTGGTTCTTTTTGAAAATCAATTTTTGGTTCATGATCACGATTTGGACTAAAAAAATAAATTGATTTAAATAAGACTAATCAAAAAAAATATTACTCAGCCGGTTGATTTGGATTTACAATATCAGTTCTAGCACCCGGTGGAGCAGATCTAAAACTTTCAAATCAAAATTTAATGATTTTATTCAAAATATTTACGTTTGAGGATCTGGTTTTCCGGGACCTTTAATCTTTCCAACCATTGTGTTTTGTGTTCCTATAGAAAAGACAAACAACGAAATGAAATTATATTACATAAATCTACCACTAAACATTCCACCAGTTGGATCTAAATCTTTCGACATTTTTTAGTTTGAATAATCTAAAATCATTCGTATAAAATTATAAAACATTCATTTCTTTCTTCTAGGTCAATGTCTTATATGGCACGTGAAGGTTAAAACTCGTCGGGTTGATCCCAGATTGAATCTAAAAATTTTAAACTCAACGGGCTCTAGTGGGGGCTGAGCCTCTCCGAAGATCGAGCTGATCCTTCTGGAGTTTGTGTTTCAAAAAATTACATGTTCATCCTCCGCAAAAGAAAATCTGAGCACAACACTGTTCTAGATTTTTAAAAAGAAAAAAAAATACGCATAGATAAATATAAATTATCATTTATATGTAATGATCCGAATTCGACCTAGAGAATAAAATGATTTAATGTCAAATAGAAATAAAGATAAATTAAAAAATAATAAAGAGTTTGTATACACTTGGAGAGTGATTTTAAACGATTGGTAGTCAACTAATTATTGAATTGTTATCTTCAATAACATAATTCTATTCAATTAAGCTTAACTTTTCAACTTCTTAAATCATAAATAGAAATAATAATTCATTTTACAAGCTCATCAACAGGTATCTAAAATTGAAAATTTATAAAAATTAATTATTCATATAAAAAATTTACTAATACCTCATCGACATTGAATAGTTTTTAATTACAATTTTTTCATATAAATAAAAAGATAATCATGTTTTTTTTAATCAAATTCTTTATTATCTATGCATCGTTGGAAACCATATTAAGATAGATACTATTGAATAATATTATCTTTATTTACAATTTGAGATCTATATATATAAAACAACCTATTTTCAAAAATAGATAAAAGATTATGTTCTAGAATAAAATTACGAATAAAAAACAATTTTAGAATAAAACAAAGACATAAATAGTCAAAAGAATAAATGCTAGTTTCGATTATCCAATCTTAATTTAGGAAACAGATGACGTTCGATTACAGTTGATATATCAACCAATGAAAAAGATATTGAAAATATTTATTTATTTCATTCAAATGGTTTTCTTTTATATCTTTTTGCTCTATATAGATCATTGCTTTGTATCATTACTACAAAATCTCAAAAGAATCGTTTCCATCTTATTATTTACAATGAAAGCTTATTGATATTTTGTTTTTTATCTCGTCGAACTGTAAATGTTAATCGATAGGATATATTTAAAAAAGTACCACTTTCACGTACATACAATTATAAGTTCACGTATTCTGCGTTTCTATTATGAACAATAAATGTAAAAAACTCATTCTTTGTCTAATACGGCATTTCGGAACGTTATAGATACAAGCTGTTTGATTGTCATATATTAGAGCCCGTCGAGTTGATTCCGAACCGACCTGGGCTCGAGTAAGAAAATTTTGGACTCGGTAGACCCTACCATACATACGGTTTTTTAAAACGTATTCGTCGATGCATCTTTACAAGATAGATTTAACTTGCTAATAAAATTTAGTTGTTAACTTTTACAATAAGATATACATTTTAAACATATTTATTTTGTAATACTTGCAAGTGTTTATAATGAGATAAAGAAAATTTCAAAATAAATAATTATGAAGAGAAAAATACAAGAAAGAAAGAGCAAGCTGTATTTTGATGAGTTCACAGAACATTGATGACTATAAAAACGAATAAGAATATGAGAAAAATTTGCCATAATTTGATAAATACGATTAAGTTATTCTTCATTTAATATTGCAATCTGAGAATATTGAGTAACAGAACTATTTGTTTGTCTGTCATTTCTTTTCTACAGCATGTTGCCCCCCATATTTTATCAGCACATATATTTTTTGCCAATACAGAAAAAAATGTGCTGATAAAATCAAAAGGACATATCGACGGAATACTTTAATTAAATGAAAATTATCTCAATAACATTTATAACAAAGTACGTATTACATATTAAATAACTTAGATAAAATATTGAAACAATAATGTCATCGATCAGATTAAGAATAACATTTTTAAGAGTAGCGCATTTCGACTCTCGATAATATCATTGAAGTCAATTATTTATCAAATTTTTTTTTAATAAAAAAAAGACAAAAATGAAATTCTAAAGAGAAATAACACAAAAATGCAATGATGAACAGTGTATAAGTGTGTTTTGCTATTTTAACTATGGACAATAGTTGATCATCAAGTATTAATCAAAAGCAATAAAACAATCAATATCGAGTGCGATAATAGTACAGCCTTGATTTAATACGTATCTTATTTTACAGAAGACAACTAATATTTGCAATAGAAGGATAGTATAGTCTAGTCCTTAAATATCAATAGAATAAGTAATATAACATAATTGCCTAGCAAATAAGTTGTCAGATAAAATGTTGATTGATTTTCTCATAATGTTTTCTGTTATTATATCTTTGACATTCTTTGTCTTATAATTATATTTTTTTAAAGATAATACGGAGTAGAATTATACCTTTGAAAATTTTATTATAATAGTCAACTTTGACAACATAAAATCTGAAAAGTATAACTTATAAATGTACTAAATCATTATTATTAATGAAGTATTTTCTTGATTCGTAATGTAATTCTCTTCAATTTGTGTATGGGTATCTGCTTTTTGTCATTGGTAATGACAAATTGTTGTTTTTCTTTCAAAATAGATACACAAAATAAATATAATAATATGATTTCTTTCTTAAATATGGCAATTAGAATATTTGAAATGGCTATTCTAGTTTTGCTTTCAGTAATCAGACTGTTTGCTATAGAAATAATCGATAAGTGTGAATTAGATTAAATATAATTGGAATAGATGTTGAGTGACAATGATTAGAAAAAGAAAGCTAAATGGCAAAAACATTAATCTGTATTAAGTTTTTTTTTTGTATAAAATGTCAGTGTTAACTATGTTCTCTGGAAGTATAGAACTTTGCACTTTCCATTAACATACTTCTATTTTATCAAAGATTTATTATAATGAAACTTAGAATTTTTATCTATGTGACACTTAAAACATGAACTCAAGTATTTCGTTCGAGGGAGGATTCCTAGGTGAGACTAATATTTTTGCGCATAAGTAGACTTAATTTTTTTGTATCTCTGGCAAAGAATCGATGAAAAAGTCGAATTACGAAATTTCGCCCTTAGGTAGGTCTCGTAAACAATAGAATGACCTGAAAATTTCAGCCCAACAAGACACATTCTTTTTGAGATATCGAATATTGAAAACATTGGACTTTCTTACATTTCTTTGTGACACATGATTATTTTTCCATATCGAATATCTCAAAAAGAGTACATCCTTTTCGGGTGAAATTTTCAGGACATTCTAAGATTCACGAGACTCATCCATGAGCAAATTTTCATAATTCGATTTTTTTTCATCAATATTTTGTCGAAGATAAAACATTTAGTAAAACTGTAATAACTTAGAAAGAACAATGGATTTGATTGATGAATCGCACTTGTAGGCGTTCCTTCGTTAGATGAAAATGATTTGAAACCATTTGCTATTTTTTTACTGGAAAAGTTCAGAGAATATCATGATAAATAAATTAAGTTCAACTTTTCGATTATCAATCTACCATATTCACCACTTTTAAAATTCACATTTGTACTGTCCGAAAAGGAACTTTGATTAATTTATCGATATACATAAGACATCTAGCAGTTCTATCAAGCTGTTAGTTGATTCAGTTATTTACACGTTAGATAGCTCATCAATTGATTATTTTAACAAAGATTCGTATTCAATAAGACTAAAACTATGAATAAGTGCATACTGTGATATATCTATCTTTCACTTTATTTTTCTTCGAATAAAAAAAGAGAAATGATAATGATTAACTAATATAATAGATATACACATGGAAGAAATAAGAGATTATCGAATGTTTATTATGGAAATAAGATATAAGCAAAAGAAAAAAAAAAAGAAGAATTATCCCTGTGATTCTAACTGACATATCAAACGTTCATTACATTTTCTTTTTTGTTTTTGAAATATCTGAATAAAAAGAAAGAGAAGTTGTTGTTTTTTTTTAATCTTGATCTTTTCGTCCATATTTGAGAATTTTAACAAATTCTTGATAATCAAATAAACCATTTTTAATTGGTGCTTCTTTAAATAATTCATCAACTTCTTCATCACTATATCGATCGCCAATTGTCATTAATAATTCACGTAAACGTTCTTCAGAAATTTTACCTGAACCATCTTCATCTAATGACATAAATGCATTTTTAATTACATCTTCAGGATCAGTACCCGTTAATTTTTCACCAAATAGTGTTAAAAACATAGTAAAATTTATATCACCTGGTGCTTCACGTATCATTGCATCAACTTCAGTATCAGTAACTACTTTACCTGTAAAAAAAAAACAAGTATTATCTTAATAGAAATCGATTTAATACAATCTAATCATACCTAATGAAGCAAACATATCTTTAAGATCATCACCACTAATAAAACCATCCTAAAAATAAAAAGTTAAATGATGAACACAGAAAACAAATGCATTAATCAAGTATACCCGATCATGATCAATTATATTAAAAGCTTCTTTATATTCTTGAATTTGAGATTGATCAAACATGGCAAAAATATTTGAAGTAGCGCGTTGTTGACGCTTTTTTGGTGGTTTAGCTTTAGCTCGTGATGCCATTTAAAATTTTGATACAAAAAAAAAAATGAAAATTTGCACGAATTTAATAAATTTATACAAGAGAATCAATAGAATCTATCTAAAAAAAAAACGAAAATCAACATCCTTCACTTGCCTAGACAAACAGCATATTGTTTGAATCAGTACATTTTTTTTTCGTTTCTCCTCTTCTTTCTACCTACACTTATGTTACTTGTATATAGGTCATCTCCCTGACCTACCATCATCGCTCGATACTCCATACTTATTACCTTACTCAATTGATTGATTGTATGAGAAAAAAAATATAAGAGAAAAATATTGAACACATGACTCGTGTGTTTGTATTCCAAAATGACAAAGAAAGAATCCAGGAACAATAAATAACTGTTGTCATCAATGCAACAACAGGTATGTTTCTGAGTGTAAGACAAAGAAAAAAATAGGACAAAACTATATAAAGAAAAAAAAAGTTATACAGGAAAACAAGAGAAACAACTGCACATACTTTAGGGTCATGTCATCAAAAAAAAAAGAACAAAAGAAAAATCTATTAGTAATTAAAGATTTAATACATGCACCAGAGAAGAGAAAAGATGGTGGTATCAATGTTCTATTCTAATACGATAAAACTATATAGAAATAGAACAAACGGGTAGGGAATTATCATAATAGAATGACAATTAGTTGAAGTTCTATTATTGATCTTTTTTTACACATCTGTTTTTATCCATATGGAAAAAAGATCACCGTCGGACAATAGATTTTGAAAAAAATGAAATCTTCTATTTTCCTTCCAATTCTTCTAATTCACTATTTCTTGGTGAAACTAAAATAAACAAAGAATATAATTATTTTATATAATTCAATGAGAAAAAAAGAATTATTCTTCATGCAAACAGCAAACGCGAAAGTAATTGTATTTTTTATTCAGTATATAAACAACCAAAAACAAATGAAAGAATATAACGTGTTATTTTTTTTTAGAAAAGAAATTATATTAGTAAAATTGGAATGTTTCTGTTTTAGTATTAGAACAAAAAAAAAAAGCCGAACATAGATATATTATGAGATAAAAAACATAATCTAAGAATTAAAAAAATAAGCCAATCATCACAAATCCAGATTTTTATGATCAACAGTTGTATATGTCGTAGTATTTCCAAGCGGATGATGAGTAAAACCAGCCCAAGAATTAAATATAGGTGAATAAATAAGAAGTACTGCATAAAGACCCCATAATATCAATAAACTTATCACACCATGCAAAAAGCCTGTTCCTGTTTCTGTTTCTACAAGGAAAAAAAAAACACAGCAAACATATGGAATAAAGGGTCACAATAAAATGCCTAATACATGCATGAAATTATACTTACTATCAACATAACGTCGTGCTACAAATTTTAATGTTTCATCAAGTAATACAACCGGGAAAGATATTTTTAATACAGCAAACCATTCTTCCCATGTTAAAGGACAAATTTGAAATACGGTCTAAAAGAAAATTTATTTTTTTTTTATTTTTTCAAATTTAATTATTTTTATAATTAACTTACATTAAACATGGGAATATAAAGAATCATCATATGTAATGACATGGATAAAGCAATAGCAAATAAAAGATATTTATTATACCACGGAGGCATTTTAAGAAGTGATTGATTTTCAGATAAACTAAAGAAATAAATATCAAAATAATTTAAGAAAAAAAAACAATTATTGAAAATAATAAACCTATTAAGTGCATTTAACATTTCAATAGTAACAAGTACTGAAAGTGCCATTGTCATTGGATGTGGATCATCAAAGACATCACAATCAATATCTTCCCATTCTTTACCACCACCACGACATTTAAAATGATGTTTCTAAATATAAAATTATTTCAATAAAAGAAGAAAAAAACAAATTTCAGAAAACTTTTTTTTTCAATTTGAACAAAAAAAAAAGTAAAAGAAGCTTTCACCAAATCGAATTCATGAGCATTCAAGAAACTATTATAAGTCTTTTTCACAAAGAAAAACTATCTAAAAGTGAAGCACAACAAACCAAGCAAAGCAAGACTTGCAAGAAATGTTATATATTTCAATAACTGTGAGAACTCATATCACACAAACATATAGGAAAAGGATCTATGAGTGTATATAGATATCATTCAATATAATATGTTTTTTTTTTGTTTCACTTAATCTCACCAGCTGCGTCCATGACAACAGCGGTCCATCGTGATACGACACGTACCACCTGAAATATTAGATTTTTTTTAATGTTTTTATGAATTCACTGCACTCAAGGGGATCAAACATCTTACCAGCATGAGGCACCGACAGTGCCTGCTCCTACATATGCTATAAAAAAAAAAGAAAAAAAAATTAGTTAAATCAAGTACACACCAAATGCCAATAATTAAGTTTAGGGCCATTGGTCGCATCCATTGACCACCATGTTGCGCTGCATACCACAGAAAAACCAACGTATGCTAACATGAGAGACAGAAAAAATTTATCAATCATTTTTTGTATTTTGCTTTATCCTCCAAAATTTGATTAGTCAGCTGAAAAAAATAGCATTCATGCCAAAATAAAAAACGATTAACTTACTTCCAACAGCCATATATCGAAAGAATAACCATGGTGTTATTAATGATTCCTTGGGATTACGTGGTGGACGTTCCATAATATCCAAATCAGGTGGATTAAAACCAAGTGCTGTTGCTGGTAAACCATCAGTTACTAAATTTACCCATAGTAATTGAACTGGAATTAATGATTCTGGTAAACCAAGTGCAGCAGTCAAAAAGATACAAACTACCTAAATCATAAGAAA